GCAAACAAGACTAAAATTAGATTCATCCATATTCAGTGGAGAAGCCCTTAAGCCTCACATGGTTCTGGTGTAATATCTGCTTGGGAAACAGGCCATGTTTTTTGCTCCACTGTCTCATTTCAACTGACAAAGATTGAAATTAAAAGCGAAGCTGAAGGCAGCACTAAATGAGCTCTAACACCTCCCTGTGCACATCAGAGTTCGAGGCTTCCACGACTCCAGCGGCATCTGACAACTGTCAGAGGTGCAGCCAAGGATGCTGGAGATTTCAGGATAGGCTGGGAGGGATACGATTGTGAGAAATGACATGTAGTCACACCACGTTACATTAGCAGCCAAAGTGCCATCGCGTTAAAACTGTCAAAAAGCATGGGGACAAATGAGTGCATCCATCTGGTGTCTGAGGAAGTTTTCCCAAAACATTCTCAAAAAAACAAGGTGTATTTACAACTTGGTTGTGTACAAACACAAAGACTCTTAAGGTGCACAGAAATGGTGCGCCGAGATACCTGAGTGTATCTGTCAACAGTGAAACATTTCAGAGTTTTGTTTTTCTAGCCTGGTTGGTCTGGGCCAGAAAGATTTGATCAGTATTCATGGCATCGTAAATATTCAGAAATACAATCAGATACTTCATACGTCATGACATTCCAACATGTTTACTTCAGAACAACATTGAGTGCCTGTCAAATCTGGTGGGTCCAGGACAGGCGTCACCAACCTTTTGAAAACTATCTCAAGGGTACGTAATAATATGACGATTTCAAGTGTAACTGGTTTAAAAAGCACAGTAACAGTACAGTTTTTGAGCCACCTGTTGTCACCTTAGGTAATCCACGGGGACTACCAGGTGACCCCAGGCACCATGTTGGTGACCCCTGCTCTAGGATGTGTCATTTTTTTGTCACTTTTTCACCCCTCTTCTTACTGTTTCACCATTTTTTGCGTCATTATTTGTCATCACAAGTGCAATTGGCACAGAAAGAAAAAAAAAAACAATAATCAGAAAATGAATGAGATCTCAGTATTATTGATGCTCAAGCCCTGAAATCCGAGCGAACTTACAGATAAACGCCATCACCATTTATTCGTCATCCTTATCGTACGTACACCAAAACAAGTCCATCCGGTTTCTGCCACTGTTTTGATCATCGCTGCGACACATCCTGTCAGCGACACAGACCGGTGACCTGTTCGACATGACGGATAACGATGTGCTTCTTACTCACTCATCAACATAACTTTCTCACACTCGCTCATGGTACACACCGAGGGTGACTCACACCAGGTTGAGAAATACCTGCGGAGATTCAGGCACGAGTCTGTGAAGGTGGTGTTATGAGTGATTCTACAAGACAGGGAATTAACTGTCAGACGCCTGCAGCTGGAAAGAGACCGCGGGGAGCTAGCATCTTAAACTTTTTAAATCCTTTGTGTGGATTTAATTCGGTAACACAAACTTTCCCAACGGGCATGCAGAAAACCTGCAGTACTTTGTTTTGATTGGGTCAAAATATCAATTTTCTTTTAGGGTTTTGGTGATGGAGATTGAAAGATAGATTGAAAAAAAATTGATTCAGGGGAGTGTGGGCTTCTGGTTCTGGTTATCTCCTGCCACCAACCATAAACAGAAACCTTAACTATTCCTTTAAAGCCACTTGGGTGGTATTGCTCCAGTTTGCCAGATCTGGGCCACGGGCACAGTCAGAGTAGCCCACATAGAAAGGTTTGCCAGATCTGGGCCACGGGCACAGCCAGAGTAGCCTAAATAAAAAAGAAGGTACAGATTGACCAAACTTATAGACCACCTGATAACAGAACCCCAGTTGGGTTACATGTGGGCCACGTTAGGCTGTTTGTCACAGCAGAGAAAAAAAAGGAAAAGTTTTGAAAACTATTTATAAATCTATGATAAAAACTTAAATGTTGTGTTGCCTTAATGTGTGTGTGTGTGAGAGAGCATGGCGTTGTTGCAGATATGAACATGTGAAGTGTGAAATATTGTTCATCTGTATTTGGAGTGATATTTGTGCAATAGATGGGGACAAAATAAGACAAAATACAAGAAGTAAAATGTACTTTTACTTCTTGTATTTTGTCTTATTTTGTTTAAAGAAAACAAATACAACAAATAAAAAACATGGACTAAAGTTTTTGGTTTTTTTTAAAAAAGGCATAAAAAAGAGACTAAAGTTACTAAAGACTAAAGTGTACGCCTTAATAAGAGCAATAATTCAAAGCTGTCAAAAATCAAAGACATAAACGGAAGAAAAAAGTCCAAGGACACAAAAGAGTTGATTTAATTCTTGTAGCCAAAAGTCGTTTGTGGAGCCATTGGAGAGGCGTACTGAGCTCCTTCAAACACCCTGGATGCAGTTAGCTTTGTGGAATATGTTGGACACACAGTCACAGAACTGTGAGGCTCAACAGGTGGTGGGATTGTGAGAGTTGGACTCGTCGACGGCCCACAGATGCATTTGCAGCTTGGACAAAAGAGGGGACGAATGCCAGGAATGAATAACCGCCCTGTCTCTTTCCACTGATTTCCCCTGAAAGCAACGAGGGAAGGCAGAAACTCCCAGAGGCTCAGATGAAAAGATATTTAAATCCAAATTCACACAGAAGCCACAGAATATGGTGTAAAGGAGAAGTGGTGCCGCAAGAGAAGGTGACGACCAATCGGAAGTGTAGAATAGTTGATTCTGTGACGATGTTGCTGTTGTCATCAGTATTCACGTCCAAGTTTGAGCCGAGGTCTTGGGGTTTGTAGTCTCCGCAAAGATTCCTTTTCATCATTGAACACAGTGTTTATGGTCTAAATCAGGAGGTCACCAACATAGGGCCCGGGGGCACCAGGTAGCCCTATGGTTATACTTGGTGATTATTATGGTGGGACGAGTGTCTCTCTACTTTGAGTCTATACGGACAAAGTAAATATCTAAGACGTGTCAAACTCAAGGCCCGGGGACCAAATGCGGCACACCAAGTCATTTTTTAAAGCTCGCGGGAACTTTTAATAAAGTCCATGCAGCAGAGTTTCTTAACCTGATGAGTTAACTTCTTTTTTTTTTTTTTATTACGCAGCAATGTTTTACCTGCTTGTGTGTTTTAAATTCTCTCCAAACCTCAGCACTGTTTAACCCAAGACTGTGTTGTTGTTTTCTGCTCCGTGTTCTGTGTTAGCTCAGCCAATCACAACTATGTGGATCAACTATGTGCATATCATACATTCTAGCAGCTGTTATCTTTGTCAAAACATCATGGTACTTCGTAACTCAGAGCTGAGATGACAGGGGGCGTGGTTTATCCGCGTCATCACATGGGCGTGTTTACATCCCGAACCGCTGACGCTCGTATATGAGGAGCGCAGTTCG